AAACGTGTGGCTGAAAAATTGTGTATCATATTAAATGTGTGGTTAAAATCATTCAATGTCATGATGAATTTTAGTTTAGTTGTGTATCTGATAGTCGAACTGACAATTCAAGTTGAATGAAATCTTAATTTGAAGTAACAAGTTGAATAAACAAGCTCAAATGTCAGTTTGGATCAATTCAATTTATTGGGTTCAAAGTTATTTTTACCTTGAATTTTTTTTTTTTTCAAAACCTGATTCCTCGATAAAATCACTCGAAAACCAAATCTACATCCCTTCAAATCTAATCGAGCCAATTTAATTTGACAGTTTTAATCGATTGAATGGGTAATTTGTCCATCCCTAGAGGGAAGGGTTACATTGCCTAATTTTCACAACTCTTACAAGGATCCAAGTAGCATTTCCAGAGCTAGATTTCATCAGCCCATTTCAAGTCCAAATTTGAAGCCCATTATGAATTTGATGTGACCATGGGTTCCAAGGATCCATGTAACTTTTTCCCAACCTTGATTTCATCAGCCATTAGATACTGGGCTGGATATGGACAGGGCTATAATGGTCCAAGCTAGTTGGCTAGAATAATTTTGGCCATTAGAGATCTGAAGGGTCCAGTTAAGGATGACAAAACAGCTCGTCGGCTCGGATGGTTCGGGCTCGGCTCTGAAAAAGCTCGAGTCGGGCCCGGGGTAACCGAGCCAAGGCTCGGGCTGGCCTGTGGCCCCGACGAGCATGCCCATTATTAAAAAATAATAATAATAAATTTAAAATTAATTTTTTTTAAAGAGCTGCCTATGTACAGGCGTTGAAAATAGTTGCCTGCAAAGGCAGCAATTAATTTTAAAAAAAAATTCAAAAACCCAAGCCTCATTTTTTTGGCTAGGCTTTGCTCGGCTCAGGCCCAAAAAAACTCGAGCTGAGCCCGAGTCTTTTTATTTTTTATTTTGGTTCGTCTCGACTCGTTGACATAACTAGGTCCAATGGACAAGGCTCCAACTCACCTTCTTTCTATGGAACTTTTAATTCAGCACAGGGCAAAACGAGGACAAATATCTAGCACAATCGTTTTCGAAAATACCACTTCGTTTACAGCATAGAAAGAGAATAATGTAAAAGTCATAGCATAAGTATACATGCATATTAATCGACTTCGACTTCCATGAGCCCTGATAGAGCCGCATGGTCCATAGTTTTTATCTTTTTTTCTAGTAAGATTATCAGTTATTCAAATATGAGTAATATTGACGATTCCTAATTTGACGACTTTTTCACCCCTGTTTGACCCACGCTATTTTTTTTCATTCTCATTCTTCTACTCATTTTCAACCATATATTTTTCAATAAAATAATATTTTCCATCACATCAATAGTTTTTTTTTCATTTTCAACCACATATTTTTCATCACATCACTTCAAAAAAATGCATTCTTTCATTTTAATGTGCACCAAACAGACTCTTAATTAGAAAGTTCATCATATCTTCAAACAAATACTTCTCGATAGTGTGTATGTTGATCACTTGCAACTAGCAAGATTTGTCTTTCCCTTCAAAAATTAAGATCTTTGCTTGAAAAAAGTACGTCTCCCCTTATTGCCATCGGTCATGGCTATATTTTTTTTGAGTTGGTGTGAAGTTGGGGGTGTAGACATATATTGAGAAGGAAGAAGACCAAGTAAATTCTTCAAACATGCATTAATTTGAAATCTTTTGCTGAACACAACCCCATCTTTTGTAAACTTTGCGGAATATAACCCTATCATTTATGAACTTTTCCAAACCGTATCATTTGTAAATTTTGCAGAAATCAACCTTCACCTTTCTAACATTTATGTAATTCAATTCTAGCTTATAGAATATTGAGAAAAACGTCATTTAACAACGGCAGTGGACAATAACAATCCACAATAGAATCCAGACTATTTTAATTGTGTGAATCTACATTAGAAAACAACAATACAAATCAGAAAGCAAATGTAAAAATCACAAGTAACAACAGAATCCAAACCAAAAAGCAAATGCCAATATCAAATAAATAAAACAACAACAAATCTAGCATCCCAGACTAGAAAGCAGATGCACAGATCATAACAAAATAGCAAGAACAGAAGACACAAATCAGAAGCAGAAGCAACCCACAACATAAACTGATGTACATATCAATCAATAGATCAAAATACAGAAAACAGATCAACAAAACAAAACATATCAAAACACAAATGACCAAAAATGATACAAAAAAATTACAGAATACAAAATCATAAAACTGATGCACAGATTAAATCGATGGACTAAATTGCAGAATACATAACCATAAAACTGATGTAAATAACCAGAATACACCACCAGCATTAACAATATTCAACTTCACTTCAAAAATGAACTTACAAATGGTAAGAAACAACGAAATGAACTGACAAAATATGTCCAAAAACCACAGTCAACGATATATGATTAACATATGTCCATTACAATTTGTCCACAAACAATTAACAGATTAGGAATTAATTTGCAACTCGTTTTGTTGTGCCATATCCCTTCACACAATATGCACTTCAATGCCATGCCTTTTCTTTAAAATGTTCCAGTAGTGGATGTCGTTATGCTACAACGACGTAGCATCATTCACTTGCATGTTCACCTATCCCATTGTCCTCATTAGGCGCACTAATCCTGGAATCATCAATCATCGATTCTTCAGTCACGTCATTTGACCGTTTATATTCTTCAACAACTCCCTTACATCACACTCACTCTTTGGTCTAGTCAAACCAATTCCCAAACTAGAGGGTTGCCTACTTGCCTCCAAAAATAGAACTCCAAAATTTGGTTGATCTAGGAATATTGCGTTAAAATGAAAGGAGAGTTGTATTGCACGAAACCAATAAAGATTATGAGGGTATTTCGTTAATTACCTTCATATATATACATAGATACGCAAAATCTTTCATCACTTGGTTTGAAAATTCTAAGTTATTAACCATCATAAATCATCATCCAATTAATGGATAAATTACATTACTAGCAAAGTCTATAATCGTACTTCACTCGCATTCTCATGAAAGTAACAAAAATCAGTTTTCATAATATCACATCTGAAGAAAAAAGAAAATATTGAAATTCCATTTCTTTCCCCTCCTTCCTTTATTTTCATTAATTTTGTCTTTCTATTTTTAAAAATTTTGACAACGAAGCAAATTGAAAATGCAAATTTTTAATACATTATAGAGTTACATATATATATATGGAATTAATCTTCTAAGCATCGGTACCACACTATAATAGGTGGTGTAATCAATTTTGTAACCGACTAAAATAGTAGTGAGGTAAATTCCGTGTTCTCCTTGACGTGAATGGTGTTCCGGCTGCTCCGATCAGTGTTTGCTACTTGCAAAATGAGGTCTCGGCTTTTTCCCCCGTTGTACCTCCAGCGGGAGAATTAGTGTTCGGTTTTAGAGAATATGAAGAGATTATAGTGGAAATCAAATAGTTCGGGTATCAAGAAAGCCATACCTTTCTCACCTTAGGGGTATTTATAGGCACCTGATGCAACGCATTTGTTCCGTAGCTAATGGTGCCACGTGTCTCACATAAATCTTCCCACTTCCCCCACATTCTGATGGGATGACTCCCACTCCTCAAGCGGTTGGTTGTACCCACGTTTGTCGTTGAGCGGTTCCCGTCCAGCTCATTGCCATTTGTATGGTTAAGTGTAGCGTCGGCCTAGTTGAATTTAAAAGAGAAAATAAGACAATACAAAGAGAATACAATTGTATTGAATGGTGTAATTTG